GATCTGAAGCCTAAATAAATGCAGTGGGATTTATCTATAATACACATTGTTATTGGCAAGTGTAATTCAATCTAAAATCAGTCTCTCTTGTACCTGATTAGTCATAGGACCTTGTTTTAAAGAAGTTTCACCTCTAAGTAATCCCATAGGATAGATCTTGAAGACTTTGTAATTGCAAAGTTTTTAGTATAATTTATTTTTTCTTCTGTACATTGAATTTAGTATAGTAGCAATAAACTAAAATCAAGTAGAAAAAAGTTTTGTGCTTCTGTGTGGACTTTTACAAAAATTAAGGTTTTTAGATTGTGTTTAAATGTCAGTGTTCTAATTTTCTGTTGTTTTAGAATTAAAGATCATTCCTAGCGTCTGCTATACAAATTTCTTTGATAACCTGCTTTAGAAAAAAAAGAAGCTGTGTTTCATTTCTTTGATTTAAACCAGCAGGACCGAATCAGTGTATCTTCTCAGATCATCTGTTATTCCATCATTCTAACTTTAGATACAGCCATATTTATTAGTCTCAACAGCTCAGTATTAGAATAATACACATGCGAAGAAGTCTAAACCTCTTATTTACCAGTGAGGGACCTGAGATCCAGAGAAGCTAGAAATCTTGGCTAAAGACCCATAGTAGTGATTATCAGAAATAAACACACTGTAAGATACTATCTCGATCATGGGAACTCAGTCAGTTAGGAATATTTTACTTTTATAAATCATCTAATTTTTTTTTAATTTAGAACGGCTGTATCTTTTTAAAGCTTTTTAAAAAAAATTAATAAGCCTTCTCTTGTCCCAAATCTTTCCTTTTCATTTCTTCTGTTCTCTTTGTATCCACTTACAGCAATATTTTAATGTTTTGTTTTATAAAAATTTAGTATACTTTTTATTTACTATTTTGTATTATTCTCTATTCATATATCTTTTTTTCCATCTACATGTAAGCTTCTTGAGGGCAGAAACTGTGGCTTATATCGCTTTTTTAATCTTCCCATTTTTTTCCTTTGGCTTATTATTATTATTATTATTATTATTATTATTATTATTATTGCTCTGCCACTTTTGCCCTCTTCTTGACTTTTTTTTTTAATCCATTCTTTCATACATTGATTTCAGTTTCCTCTGTTGCTTTATGTCTGGAAATTAATGTTATTAAAACGTTATAATACAACTGGCAAAATACAAAATGCTTCAAAGCAACATTAAAATGCCCTTCTTTAGCAACTGTATCAGAAAAGTTGGCTTTCCTGTAATTGACCACTGAATATCAAAGACTTAACCTAAGAAATACATAATGCAGTTTAATCAGTGTGTCTCCAGTAGCACTGCTGTCTTTTTAATTGTAACCGGATGTTATCTTAGAGCTTGGTCTGGAAAGACCTCCACAAGTTTGGAATGCTGGCTCTGATTAGCTTCTCCAGTTTTATGATTTCTGAAGATCTTCAACTGCAGAGAGAGTTCAGAGAAACTAAATAAACACTGATATCTATAGCTTCTGAAATCATCACTGATCTTCGGGTTTATTTCTAGATCTGCCTGAGAGCTGATATGTGACCCTGAAACTAGAAAATCGCACCATCAATCTTTTGGATGTGTGAACGGTTTAATATATGGAAAGAAGACCTCTAAAGGACCACTGCCACGTTGTGTTTGCCTCTCACTCTTCGTCTTATCTCTATTCTACACAGTATTTAATGTAGGCAGCTGGATCCAGGACAACTGGGCATTTAGATTAACTATGCTTTACCATGTCTGCCGGTGTAGTGCTTCATTGTCCAGATGCAAGGGGGAGCCCTGAAGGAGAGAGAAAATCAAGAATGGCGGTAGCTGTTTAAGCTTTTTTTCAATTCTCCCAAGTGTGATAGTTTGCAGGTAGCGTGAGGGGCAATTTTCTAACTTCTCCCTTCATAGGACTGGGCCTTTTGATAGCATGGATATTCCAAATGAAGACATTTCATCCATTTACTACTTTTCAGTGCAGTTATACAGCTGATATTCATTAATTAGATAATGCTGGCTTATTGATGACTAATAAACCTTTAAAAACTTCTTTATTTTAATTCTATACTTCTATATAGCATTTCAATATGGTTTGAAAGAAACACTGTTTGGCTGGTGGTAAGCATTTTTTTTTTCCTCAGGAATGCTAAAATGAATAACTAAAAGATGATCTACCAAGAAAAATTGGCAAATAGATCTGTGTTTTGACTTAATTAGCCTGACCATGTGCAGGCCATCAGCAGATTAACCTTAAAAGAATTCTAAAAAGTACAGTCTCTGCCTTGAAACTTTGATGTTATGGCTCTGAGTGGGGTGTGTGTGTGTGTGTGTGTGTGTATGAGTTTATCAAGAGCAAAGAAGAATTAAGAATGTAACTGGTCCTCAGTATTTATTTCTCTTTTGTGCAATTCCATATGTTTATGTGGCAACATTTTGCTAGAGTTTTAAACCTAGTGACTGTAGTTGTAACAACACTTCAGGCAATAAGATGTAAATCAGGGCTAATTGGAATCTTCCCCTTGAATTTTTCTCTCTTTGAGGGGAAAAAATTAAGTTGGTTTATAAATCAATTTCCTGCCAAATATGCTAAGGGCAAAGATTTCAAGGATTTTTCCATTGATGCTGCTGTTAATTGTATTTGTTTATTGAATAGGCAATGCATTTCCCTGGTTCAAAATGTAAAATGTTCAAAATTGCTAATGGGGACCTCCGAGTTGTTGGACAAGTTGGACAGAAGTTGGGTAACCTGTGAACCTCCTACTTGTAATCAGCAGTCTTGTGTGACTGAGCCATTAACCTGTGGAATGTGACTCTTTCTCCAAGTAGACAGTGTCAGAGCTGAGTTAAATTGTAGGACACCCCGCTGGTGTTGCAGTATTCTGGGTGTGGGAGACCCCCACACACGTCTGGTGTCAGAAGTGTTGTGAGTGTGATAGTAGTGTGAGAGTAAGGGAGACACGCAGGGGGAACTGGGTTTTTCCTAACATAGTGATTACATTTTTTCTGATCTAGGCCTTTATTTTCATTTCCTTAATGAATGGAACCTGTAACTGGGTATTGGGAGACCTGAGTCCTTTTCCTGAAAATGATGCATGCCTCTGATTTATTTGGTGTAATTGCTTCATCTTTAAGCTGGCACCGTGATGTTTTTCTCTCCCAGGTTTGTTACCAAACTGTATGTAAAATGAGACAACTCCTGTTTGTTTGGTAACCTGTGTGGCATTTATTAATTAGAATATATAAGCATGGATTCTCTTGCTAGCCCTGATTCCTAGAAAAGTATTCTATAGTTTGAAACCAAGCATCTTAAAGACTGCATATCTTAAGTTTCCATTTTTGATACAGTAAATGAAGTTGCTTCTATCAGTTTCCAGATTAGTACCTAAGAGAATCAGAAGAAAAGAAAATTTCAAATAGAGCTGGTCATCCTCAATTTTGAACCCTTCATGTGTTAATGCTGGAATACATCAAATTTTATATGTCACTGCACCTTATTCATTAAGGTCAGTGTATTCTAGAAAGTCGTTGCTAGACAGTAAGCTCCAAGAAGGTAGGGATGACACCTGCTTCTGTATTGCTCTATCTGGAATGCATATATGAACTCAGATATTTATTGAATAATTTACTGAGTGAAAAAAACTGTTGGGATTTGGCTCAGTGATTTTTAGAATTTTATATTGCTGAGTTTTTTGTTTCCTCTTCTTCTTGTTTTTGTTTTTCCTTCCTCCCTCCTTCCCTTCCTGCCTTCCTTCCTTTTTTTTAAATGATTACATATTGTTACGGTCATTGTCCTGGTCCTGGGCCTCTTTGCCTCCATAGCCATTCCTGCCTCTTTCAGGCACCGCTTGGTATGCCGAGGGGACTGAGTCTGCTTGGATTCCCTTGCTCCCATTAGCTGGCTTTCCCTTGCATTCGGCCAGTGGGAGCCCGGTGGGGACTGAAGGTCAGAAAGCGAGGAGACACCCTGGCTCTTTCCTTTTTCCCTGTCTGGCTGGAGTCTCTGCTGTGGCTGCTTCCCGCTTGCTTCCACTCCTATAGGACAGGTGCACTGAGGTTTCAGCTCCTGTCAGGGTACTTATCTCCTGGGCTCTGGAAACCTCCTCTTTTTTCCCGTGACCACAAGGTAGTAACTGCCTTCTGCTATGGCCTGTCCCCAGGATACCTCACTGTGCTATATTTGAATTCTCAGTCCTGTCATCCATGTAATTAACTCCCTATACTTTCCTTTCCTAGAATGCTTTCTGTTTTTCTAGTTGGACTTTGACCGATATAGCCATTGAAGTCCTACTCTTATAAAAAATAAGTTTAATATTGCTAAATATTAAATTAAATAGCTGTCTCTTTACATTTATTATTATAGAATCCATAGAAATGACTGAATTTTTCTCATGCATTTTTTTTGATGATTGAATATAAGACTCCATACTGTGTGCTATGTGGATACTTACAGAATCTAATAGAATTTTATATATAAAATAACATGTAAAGTACTTAAAGAAGTATACAGTAAAACCTTGGATTGCGAGTAATTTGGTTTGCGAGTGTTCCACAAGACGAGCAAACATTTCTATTAGGTTGGTGCAAAATCGTAATGGCAAAAACCGCTATTACTTTTGCACCAACCTAATAATACATTTTAAGTTGGTAAATGAGCGATGTCTTGCAATATGAGTAGTTTGTTTCCGGAACGAATTATACTCGCAAACCAAGGTGTTACTGTACAGAATAAGAGATATAAAGGGTTTAAAGGGAGGGAAACATTAGATCACTTGATCAGAGGGATCAGGTGAGGCTTCGTGGGTTGTGAAGAACGAGTATGATTGCTCTTGTGAAGACTGCGGCCAGAGAATGGGTGAAAGTTGCAAATGGAAAGAAGAGTAACAACAAAGATATAGGGACGGAAACTAGTGTGTTCATCCTAAATAGTAGCTAGTTATCGAAAGGATTTATAAAGATAAATGGAGATTAGAGAGACAAATGTATTTGGCAGAGGGGGAAGTATGGAGGAATTGACTTTAGGAAGGTAAATTTGTTATATAGTTGGATCAATTGGAGAGAGAAGAAATTCGAGCTGGAAAGAATAGTGGTGGCTCCATTGATTTTATTCTAGGGAGAGTTGAGAGGACCTGAACTAGGAGTTCTGTAGTGAAATGCCTAATTTGCCATACCTAGTGACTTAATATGGGGCGTTTTTGTATCTCAACGACTATCTGGCTCCAGGTAAGCACCCAAAGAGCGTGGAAAGTCTAATGTTACATGCAAGATTTGAGACTGGGTGATGTTAGGGATAAAAATAGAGACATGAGGAAGTGAAGGAGGTTAATGAGGAATAAGTAGTAGTAGTATTGCCCCTCTGACTATGTAAGCACTTCCCCATGTTATACTAATTGCCTTATAGAACCCTATGAACTAAATATTATTGTTTGTATTTTATGTAGAAACTGTTCTTATGAGCGTTAAGAGACTTGTACAAGATTTGGTTATTCGGTATGTTGTAAAACTGAGCATTTTAACTCAGGTCTTCCCTCTCCCTGTTTCTGTTTTTTGTTTTAATAATTCACTGTACTAGCTTTCTTGATTACACTTAAAATCATGTACTCTTTTGGCTATACATCACAGTTTTTTAAATAATTATAAGTTTAATCTTGGACATTTTTTTAAAGGAAAGTTATAAACTTTTACAAATGGTTTTCTTCTGAGGTACAATTACTGTTTATAATTGAGGTAAGGGGAAAGGGTTTTCTTTTGTTTTGTTTTGCTCTTTGGAGGATACCCATGCTTTAAGACATTATGAAGTTAGATATATTATCTCATGGCTGTGACATTCTTGAACGCGATAATGTTTCTGTATGTTCGTAGAAGTAAAACAACTGGGAGATGGCATATCAGATCCGTTCCGTAGTGGTGCCACCGACACGTTTTGTTGGCTTGTATTGATATGTTCCCCCTTGATCCTACATTTCCTTCTAGCAATTGTACCGTCTCTCTCTAGAACAAATCTTTCCTGGAATATTTCTTTATATTTATTTTCTTGCTCATTGCCCATTCTCTTATTCTGCTTCAGTTTGCTTCCCATCAATACCAATTTACTAAAACTTCTCTAGTTCAGCTCAGTAACAACCAAATCCATTGACACGTTTCACTGTTTCTTTATCCTCAGTCTTTTCTTTCCTGGACCTCTTTGTGATACATGGCACCGTAGACTTTTCTTCTTTTTAAAACTTCTTTGAAAAACTAAAATAAAACCTCTTTGACCTTGGCTTCTGTGTTGTCCCTCCCTCCTAGTTTTCTATTTCTCTGTCCTTAGTTTTCTTTCAAGGCCCTTCTTTCTCTGCCCATTCTATACGCGTTATGGTTCCTCGTGAGTTTATTCTTCACCTTCTTTCAGTCTGTACCTCCTTTGCTGTTCGATCTCGTCTCTTCTGATGGCTTCATCTACCACTGTTATATCACCCAATTAGACCTATTTTTTGAGCTCCATACCCAGCTATCTACTAGACAGCTATCACTAAATGCCCAAGACACATAAAGTGCAATGTCAAAAATAGTACCAATCATATTCCTACCCAAATTTGTGCCTTTCTTACAAAATCAGTGCTGTTGCTCTCCATCAGGTGACCAAGCCAAAAACTTGAGAGCATTCTGGATATTTTTCTCAGCCACCTGCCACCAAAATCTGTTGATTGTTCTTTATATCACAAGTCTGCCTTCTCCTTGTCATTATCATAACTACTGCTTAAGTGTAGGCCTTCATCATTACTTACTTAGATCTCTTTAGGGTTCCCTAAGCATTTCTACTTCGAATTTTGTACTTTTCTGATCAATACTCTTACATGATCTTTTTAAAAAGTAAGTCCAATTGCTCAACAATGTTAATTATTTAATATTCCATGCTTATTGCTTGGAAGAATTAATGTCAAAATGTCCATACTACCCAAAGTGATTTACAGGTTCAGTGCAATCCTATCAAAATTCTAATGGCAATTTTCATAGAAATAGAAATAAAAATCCTAAAATATGTATGGAACTACAAAAGACTCCAAATAGCCAAAGCAGCCTTAAGAAAGAACAAAGCTGGAGGCATCACACTTCCTGATTTCAAACTATATGACAAAACTATAGTAATCAAAACAGTGTGGTAAAATAGACACATAGATCAATGGAATAGAATAGAGAGCCCAGAAATAAAATCATGCATATATGGTAAATTAATTTACAACAAAGGAGCCAAGAATATACAATGGGGAAAAGATAATGTCTTCAATATATGGTGTTGGGAAAAGTAGTTAGCCACATGCAAAAAAATGCAACTGGACCGCTAGATTACACCATACATAAAAATCAACTCAAAATGGTTTCAAGACTTTAATGTAAGATCTGAAACTCCTAGAAGAAAACATAGGGGGTAAACTCCTTGACATTGGTGTTGGCAGGGATTATTATTATTTTTTGATTCAACAAAAGAAAGCAAAGACAACAAAATCAAAACTGGGAACAAATGGGACTACATCAAACTACAAAGCCTCAATACAGCCTAGGAAACCAGCAACAAATGAAAAACCACCTTCTGAAATGGGAGAAAATATTTGCAGACCACATTGATAAAGGGTTAATATCCAAAATATATAAGGAACTCAACAGCACAAAAAAAAAAATTGAAAAAAGAAACTAAGTCCAATTAAAAAATGGCTAAAGGATCTGAATAGGCATTTTTCCGAAGAAGACATACAAATGGCCAACAGGTACATGAAAACGTGCTCAAAATCACTAATTGTCAGGGAAATGCAAATTAAAACCACAATGATAGCTGTTCACATCTGTTCGGATCTCTGTTATCAAAAAGACAAGACATAACAAATGCTGGCGAGGATATGGAAAAAAGGGAAACCTTGCACTGTTGGTGGGGATATGAACTGGTAAAGCCACTATGGAAAACAGTATGGCAGCTCCTCAAACAATTAAAATTAGAACTGCCATGTGATCCAGCAATCCCACTTCTAGGTATATATCTGAAGGAGATGAAATCATTATCTTACAAGAGATACCTGTACTCTCGTGTACATTGCAGCATCAATCACAATAGCCAAGGTATAGAAATAATAAGTGTGCACTGACAGATAAATAGATAAAGAAAATGTGGTATATATAAGAAGGAATATTATTCAGCCTTTAAAAAGGTGGAGATCCTGCCGTTTGCAATAACATTGAAGAACTTGGAAGGCATTATGCTGAGTGAAATAAGCCAGACAAAGACAAATACTACATGGTATCATTTATATGTGGAATCTTTAAAAGAAAAAAGAAGAAAACAAAGCTGAACTCATAGAAACAGAGAGTGGAAAGGTGGTTGCCAGGGCTGCATAACGTGGAAAATAAGGAGAGGTTGGTAAAGTGGTACAAATTTTGTTTTGAGATGAATAAGGTCTGAGGAGCTAATGTATAGTATGGTGACTATAGTTGATAATACTGTATTGTATTATTGAAATTTGCTTTGAGAGTAGAATTTAAATGTTCTTATAAAAAAGATAAATATGTGAGGTGATGGATGTGTTAATTAACTTGATAATGAGAATCCTTTTACAATGTATATGTATATAAAATCATCACATTGCACATTTTAAATATCTTATAATTTTATTTATCAACTATCTCAATGAAGCTGGAATAAATTTTAAAATGTAATAAGAATAATCCCTTTTATATAAATTGCATTTTAAAAGGTATCTCAAACTAATCAAAGGAAGTTTTCGTAGGAGCTTAGAAAATGTGATAAAAAAAGCAGCTTCTAAACAGATTAAACGCTTGCCACCAAACTGGTTTGCTTAGAAATAAATACTTCTTGATTGTTGCTTTATTCTCCCAACAAGGATTAACAGTTTAACCCTTTTATTATTATTATTATTATTTCTATTATTATTATCATTATTTATTGTGTTCTTGTTATTGAAGTGTTAGAGAAGTCCTCAAAATGTCACCTTATCTGTTTAGCAAGAACATTCGACGGAGACTCGTGGGAAAAAAGCAACTGTCACTCTAGACTTCAGTTTCATGTGTAGGTTCAATGTGATGTAGGGTGACCAGTAATCTCTAAGTTTCTCCATTGAGTTTAATACACAATATGTAGCAAACATCTGATTTATTCAAAACTGGGAGTGTCATACTATGGCAACTAAGATGGAGATGCAAAAGTAAAATAATACATTCTTTTAAATGGAGATAAATAACAAATGATTATGATTTTCGGCAATTTCTTTGTCATTTAATGTTCAGCTTTTTCAGCTTTTCCCCTATTTAAATGAGAGAGCTCACAAAGGGAGACAACAATGCTACAAATTAATGACCTAACACTCTGTCATGAGCTCAGTGTTTAATAGGAGGACTCCAGATGGTGATCATTTTGCATTTTAAAATGTTTTATATTGATAATAAAAACAAAAGCCTTTTTAACAAGTCAAAAAAAGTTTTAGTCAGGTGCTGGAATCTATCACTTAAAAAGTCTAAGTGTCACTTTCAGTATTATTTCGTATAAAATAGTATTCATGTCTGTTAGTTTTATTAACCTGAACCCATGTAACTCTCCTAAAGTGAAGAATGCATTCCAATTTAATCAATGTTGTTGCAAATGGCAGGATTTCCTCCTTTTATTTTAAAGGAAAAAGCATTTCATGCCTTACTGGCCATATACATTTCTTGTTTACTTATCTAGGCCCTAGAACATCGTGGCATTCACAAATGTTTCTTGTTTAGTAATGTCATGTTGCCAGAAGTCCAAATATTGCCACTCAGAGCTGTAATGCAAGTGTGCTTCTTTAATGAATGGTTCATATTAAAAACGTCCGAAGGCCTTTCCAGATGAAAAACACTTTAAATTCAGCAGATCATTTTTTTTTTCTCAATAGGCAAGAGCTCATTAATGGAATAATACTGGTAACTGAGGTATTTTTCAAAGAAAATAATATCCCCGATAAATGCAAGCTGCATATCTTCTCATCTTTAAATAAGTAGGCCTAGATTTCATTTGTA